TGAGCTGAATGGGGCATCCACCTCTCTTGAAATTATTGCTTAACAAATATTGCTACCTGAAGACTCGGGAAGTCCGCCCTGAGGAGGATCAGGTTGGGAAAAGTTTCTTCAACTAAAACTAGAATATTTTAAATATAAAAGCTTACAGTCCACAAAAAGCTATGGGGCTACTAGCTAACTACTGGTGCAGTGTGCTGGCCAGCATCGCATCAACCTCCCTCCTGCCTTCCACTGTCAAATGTGGGAGCCAGATGACGTTCTGCAAAAGCAGGGAGTCTGTCAAAAGACCTGTAGCCATGTCAGTCGATGTCTGGGAATTCAGCGAGATACCTGGTATACAGAATTTGGCTTTGTCATTTTCTCAAAAGGAGAGTCTCATCTGCCGGGGAAAGGCATACGTCCCCAATGTCAAATGAGCCATGTTATCTCCTCCCCTATCTTTATTTTTAGCTCACCATTTTGGACCCAATCCTGTGGTTGCAAGCTGAGGCCCTTAAATACACCACCTGACGCTACCCCTAGAATTCACTTTACACACCAAAATATTTGCACTTTAATAACCCCATGGAAGTGTTTGCCACATCTCTCTTAATCCTAAGGGAGTGGATGACTTATCAGGAAGGTCCGTAAGATTTAGAACTTTGTTGCTGATGGATTGGTAGCTATCTAAAGGATTATAATAATTATTTGGATTATGGTAGCATGTAGAGGCTTTGTCCACGCTTGGGGCTGTATTAAACACTTCTTGTTCCAAAGATTTTACAATCCAAGGTCCCGATCTTGCAACTCTGCATGGGCAGAGCACCAGTGGCTTCCTTGGCGGTCTGTATTGGGCATAGCAGCCCACCGTTTGCAGGACCAGGGTGTAACTAGATAAGACAGGCGAAGGAAGCATTTTCTCCATTTGCAGAGCAGGAGCTGATCAGAATGACTTGCTCAAGATCGCACGGCTGGGGATTGAACTCACAAGTAACAGTTCAGTGCTTTACCCACTAGGCAAGGTGTCCTTTCTTTTTTGGGAGGGTGGGGGTGGTAGGGATGAGTTTGAATTTTTCTAAAACTTGTTTCTTCAGGAGTTATAAATGTGACTAGTTTATGAAATTACATCTTTCAAGCAATTGTATAAAATACTCCTTAGCACATTTGAGTTTGGCTTTTAAAGAATTAGCCTTTGATTGTACTCCAAATATTTCATTTTTACTACAGCGACCGGGCAAATTAACAATGTTGTTAGGAATGCCTTTCCCATGCTTGTAATTAAAAAAAAAAAAAAAATTTAAGAAAGGCGACAAAAACATTACTGGAGTGGAGAGCTTTCTGGAAATTGTACGTTTTGTTTTGGTATCAGTTTGTTTTGGCAATTGGGTTTTCAAAGCAGATTCTCTCTGAGGTTAAATTTTGACTGGGGGGGCAGTGGAAGTGTCTGCTTGTTTTGCAGTGGTTCTCAACCAGGGGTACGTGTACTCCTGGGGTCATGCAGAGGTCTTCCGAGGGTACATCAACTCATCTAGATATCTGCCTCGTTTTACAACAAGCTACATAAAAAGCACTAGCAAAGTCCGTACAAACTAAAATGTCCTCTAGACAATGACTTGTTTATACTGGTCTATATTCTATACACTGAAATGTAAGTACAATATTTATGTTCCAATTGATTTATTGTATACTTAAATGGTAAAAATGCTGGGTTTCTGGGCCTATGGATGGAGGAGATAAATATTTTTGCACAGCGCTTATGATATTTCAACGCCACTTTAAACCAGTTGATTTTCGTAAGGGCTGAACGACCACAGTTCTCACCTGCCGTGTTGCAGAATGTTCCGTATTGGAGATGGATCCGTACTGTGGGAACCAGTTCTGGGATCCAAATGCTGCAAAACTCAAGGTGTTAAGTGTTGGGATTCTGATTCCCACCCCTCACCCCACCCCCCATAGCGCTCATGTGCTGGGGAGCTAAGCAGGGAACGCTAAGATTGGGCAATGATCCAGTGTAACAAACTAGTGTCATCCCTATACGTGTCTCTTTCCCCATCTCTGTATGTCTTTCTGCACGTTCCCATAATCTAACAAACAAATCACTGTAGGAAGGAGCCCATTTTGCTGAATTTCTGCACACTTGGGTGAGCAGAGCATCCACTGGACGTGAGTTTAAAGCCAGCTGCATGGCCTGCAACTCCTGGGCATAGACCACAGCTGTCAGCTACAGGGTGGTTCTCTTAAAAAAAGAACGTGGCACAGGGAAATCTACATGTTTGCAGAGGAGACCAGAATCTTGTCACACCTCTGTGCTCCACATGGCATGAAGAAGAAGGGGCAGAGAGCTGTCCACAACAAAGCGTGGGCTGGGATTAAAAGTCTAAGGGTATGTCTACACTACGGAATAAGGTCGAATTTATAGAAGTCGGTTTTTTAGAAATCAGTTTTATATATTCGAGTTTGTGTGTCCCCACAGAAAATGCTCTAAGTGCATTAAGTGCATTAACTCGGCGGAGCGCTTCCACAGTACCGAGGCTAGAGTCGACTTCCGGAGCGTTGCACTGTGGGTAGCTATCCCACAGTTCCCGCAGTCTCCGCTGCCCATTGGAATTCTGGGTTGAGATCCCAATGCCTGATGGGGCTAAAACATTGTCGCAGGTGGTTCTGGGTACATATTGTCAGGCCCCCGTTCCCTCCCTCCCTCCGTGAAAGCAAGGGCAGACAATCATTTCGCGCCTTTTTTCCTGAGTTACCTGTGCAGACGCCATACCACGGCAAGCATGGAGCCCGCTCAGGTAACCGTCACCCTATGTCTCCTGGGTGCTGGCAGACGCGGTACGGCATTGCTACACAGTAGCAGCAACCCCTTGCCTTGTGGCAGCAGACGGTACAGTACGACTGGTAGCCATCATCGTCATGTCCGAGGTGCTCCTGGCCACGTCGGCTGGGAGCGCCTGGGCAGACATTGGTGCAGGGACTAAATTTGGAGTGACTTGACCAGGTCATTCTCTTTAGTCCTGCAGTCAGTCCTATTGAACCGTCTTATGGTGAGCGGGCAGGCGATACGGACTGCTAGCAGTCGTACTGTACCATCTTCTGCCGAGCAGCCATGAGATGTGGATGGCATGCAGTCCTTCTGCACCGTCTGCTGCCAGCCAAAGATGTAAAAGATAGATGGAGTGGGTCAAAACAAGAAATAGACCAGATTTGTGTTGTACTCATTTGCCTCCTCCCCTGTCTAGGGGACTCATTCCTCTAGGTCACACTGCAGTCACTCACAGAGAAGGTGCAGCGAGGTAAATCTAGGCATGTATCAGTCAGAGGCCAGGCTAACCTCCTTGTTCCAATAAGAACAATAACTTAGGTGCACCATTTCTTATTGGAACCCTCCGTGAAGTCCTGCCTGAAATACTTCTTGATGTACAGGCACCCCCTTTGTTGATTTTAGCTCCCTGAAGTCAACCCTGTAAGCCGTGTCGTCAGTCACCCCTCCCTCCGTCAGAGCAACGGCAGACAATCGTTCCGCGCCTTTTTTCTGTGCGGACGCCATACCAAGGCAAGCATGGAGGCCGCTCAGCTCACTTTGGCAATTAGGAGCACATTAAACACCACACGCATTATCCAGCAGTATATGCAGCACCAGAACCTGGCAAAGCGATACCGGGCGAGGAGGCGACGTCAGCGCGGTCACATGAGTGATCAGGACATGGACACAGATTTCTCTGAAAGCATGGGCCCTGCCAATGCATGCATCATGGTGCTAATGGGGCAGGTTCATGCTGTGGAACGCCGATTCTGGGCTCGGGAAACAAGCACAGACTGGTGGGACCGCATAGTGTTGCAGGTCTGGGACGATTCCCAGTGGCTGCGAAACTTTCGCATGCGTAAGGGCACTTTCATGGAACTTTGTGACTTGCTTTCCCCTGCCCTGAGGCGCATGAATACCAAGATGAGAGCAGCCCTCACAGTTGAGAAGCGAGTGGCGATAGCCCTGTGGAAGCTTGCAACGCCAGACAGCTACCGGTCAGTTGGGAATCAATTTGGAGTGGGCAAATCTACTGTGGGGGCTGCAGTGATGCAAGTAGCCCACGCAATCAAAGATCTGCTGATATCAAGGGTAGTGACCCTGGGAAATGTGCAGGTCATAGTGGATGGCTTTGCTGCAATGGGATTCCCTAACTGTGGTGGGGCTATAGACGGAACCCATATCCCTATCTTGGCACCGGAGCACCAAGCCGCCGAGTACATAAACCGCAAGGGGTACTTTTCGATAGTGCTGCAAGCTCTGGTGGATCACAAGGGACGTTTCACCAACATTAACGTGGGATGGCCGGGAAAGGTGCATGATGCTCGCATCTTCAGGAACTCTGGTCTGTTTCAAAAGCTGCAGGAAGGGACTTTATTCCCAGACCAGAAAATAACTGTTGGGGATGTTGAAATGCCTATATGTATCCTTGGGGACCCAGCCTACCCCTTAATGCCATGGCTCATGAAGCCGTACACAGGCAGCCTGGACAGTGGTCAGGAGCTGTTCAACTACAGGCTGAGCAAGTGCAGAATGGTGGTAGAATGTGCATTTGGACGTTTAAAGGCGCGCTGGCGCAGTTTACTGACTCGCTTAGACCTCAGCGAAACCAATATTCCCACTGTTATTACTGCTTGCTGTGTGCTCCACAATATCTGTGAGAGTAAGGGGGAGACATTTATGGCGGGGTGGGAGGTTGAGGCAAATCGCCTGGCTGCTGGTTACGCGCAGCCAGACACCAGGGCGGTTAGAAGAGCACAGGAGGGCGCGGTACGCATCAGAGAAGCTTTGAAAACCAGTTTCATGACTGGCCAGGCTACGGTATGAAAGTTCTGTTTGTTTCTCCTTGATGAAACCCCCCGCCCCTTGGTTCACTCTACTTCCCTGTAAGCTAACCACCCGCCCCTCCTCCCTTCAATCACCGCTTGCAGAGGCAATAAAGTCATTGTTGCTTCACATTCATGCATTCTTTATTCATTCATCACACAAATAGGGGGATGACTACCAAGGTAGCCCAGGAGGGGTGGTGGAGGAGGGAAGGAAAATGCCACACAGCACTTTAAGCACAGCACTTTAAAAGTTTACAACTTTAAAATTTATTGAATGACAGCCTTCTTTTTTTGGGGCAATCCTCTGTGGTGGAGTGGCTGGTTGGCCGGAGGCCCCCCCACTGCGTTCTTGGGCGTCTGGGTGTGGAGGCTATGGAACTTGGGGAGGAGGGCGGTTGGTTACAGAGGGGCTGCAGTGGCAGTCTGTGCTCGAGCTGCCTTTGCTGCAGCTCAACCATACACTGGAGCATACTGGTTTGGTCCTGCAGCAGCCTCAGCATTGAATCCTGCCTCCTCTCATCACGCTGCCGCCACATTTGAGCTTCAGCCCTGTCTTCAGCCCGCCACTTACTCTCTTCAGCCCGCCACCTCTCCTCCCGGTCATTTTGTGCTTTCCTGCACTCTGACATTATTTGCCTCCACGCATTCGTCTGTGCTCTGTCAGTGTGGGAGGACAGCATGAGCTCGGAGAACATTTCATCGCGAGTGCGTTTTTTTTTCTTTCTAAGCTTCACTAGCCTCTGGGAAGGAGAAGATCCTGTGATCATTGAAACACATGCAGCTGGTGGAGAAAAAAAAAAGGGACAGCGGTATTTAAAAAGACACATTTTATAAAACAGTGGCTACACTCTTTCAGGGTAAACCTTGCTGTTAACATTACATACATAGCACATGTGCTTTCGTTACAAGGTCGCATTTTGCCTCCTCCCACCGCGTGACTACCCCCTCAACCTTCCCCCTCCCTGTGGCTAACAGCAGGGAACATTTCTGTTTAGCCACAGGCAAACAGCCCAGCAGGAATGGGCTCCTCTGAGTGTCCCCTGAAGAAAAGCACTCTATTTCAACCAGGTGACCATGAATTATATCTCACTCTCCTGAGGATAACACAGAGAGATAAAGAACGGATGTTGTTTGAATGCCAGCAAACATACACTGCAATGCTTTGTTCTACAATGATTCCCGAGTACGTGTTACTGGCCTGGAGTGGTAAAGTGTCCTACCATGAAGGACGCAATAAGGCTGCCCTCCCCAGAAACCTTTTGCAAAGGCTTTAGGACTACATCTAGGAGAACCGCAAATGCCAGGGCAAAGTAATCCTTTCACATGCTTGCTTTTAAACCATGTATAGTATTTTAAAAGGTACACTCACCAGAGGTCCCTTCTCCGCCTGCTGGGTCCAGAAGGCAGCCTTGGGTGGGTTCGGGGGGTACTGGCTCCAGGTCTAGGGTGAGAAACAGTTCCTGGCTGTCGGGAAAACCGGTTTCTCCGCTTGCTTGCTGTGAGCTATCTACAACCTCCTCCTCCTCATCATCTTCTTCGTCCCCAAAACCTGCTTCCGTATTGCCTCCATCTCCATTGAAGGAGTCAAACAACACGGCTGGGGTAGTGGTGGCTGAACCCCCTAAAATGGCATGCAGCTCATCATAGAAGTGGCATGTTTGGGGCTCTGACCCAGAGCGGCTGTTCGCCTCTCTGGTTTTCTGGTAGGCTTGCCTCAGCTCCTTCAGTTTCACGCGGCACTGCTTCGGGTCCCTGTTATGGCCTCTGTCCTTCATGCCCTGGGAGATTTTCACAAAGGTTTTGGCATTTCGAAAACTGGAACGGAGTTCTGATAGCACGGATTCCTCTCCCCAAACAGCGATCAGATCCCGTACCTCCTGTTCGGTCCATGCTGGAGCTCTTTTGTGATTCTGGGACTCCATCATGGTCACCTGTGCTGATGAGCTCTGCATGGTCACCTGCAGCTTGCCACGCTGGCCAAACAGGAAATGAGATTCAAAAGTTCGCGGTTCTTTTCCTGTCTACCTGGCCAGTGCATCTGAGTTGAAAGTGCTGTCCAGAGCGGTCACAATGGAGCACTCTGGGATAGCTCCCGGAGGCCAATACCATCGAATTGTGTCCACAGTACCCCAAATTCAAGCCGGCAACATCGATTTAAGCGCTAATCCAGGGGTGGAGTAAGGAAATCGATTTTAAGAGCCCTTTAAGTCGAAATAAAGGGCTTCATTGTGTGGACGGGTGCAGGTTTACATCGATTTAACACTGCTAAATTCGACCTAAAGTCCTAGTGTAGACCAGGGCAAAGAAGCAGGTCATGTATCCCACATGGCAGCTGGTACTGATTTGTTCAGCACCCAGCCTGGCACCCAATAAAGGGGCAGAATGGTGATACACACGCTTAGCAGGGTTTGAGAGTGGTTGAAAATCTTTTTTGTTAACTCTTTGCTTTGATGAAAAATTGGGGTTTGGACAAAGGTGAGAAATTTCATGGAAATTGTCTAGAAAAATCAATGTACTTTGAATGATTTTTTTCTTGGAAAACCAGTCATTTTGGCAGAAAACCAAATGGTTTTGCTAACGGTTTTTAGCTGAAGTAATCCCACAAATCACTACCCCTCACCCTCAAAAAGAGAACATTTTGGAGAAAAATTGCCAGAAAACTTTTAGGTTTTGGTAGAAAATCTTCAGTTTTGGAGGCTGTTTGATTTTCCTGAGTAAAAATCCTGACATTCACTGGGGATGGGACCCAATTCCCACATAGCTTTAGTCAACAGAGCAGAAGCTCGGGTCCTAAAAGCAGCTTTTGGCTACGTGGGAGGGTCTGTACTGTTATCGGACCATTGTTCTATCTGGTCTCAAACTTAGCATTTTCCCACTACCTATTGGCTGACACTAAAATCCCAAATCCACCACCGACAAGGTTTGGAGACACCCCAAGCCACACCGTTTGGATCTCATTTCTTGGCACCGCTTAGATATTTGGCCCTTAAGACACTTAGCTGGAAATCTGACTTGCTATATTGAGGAAGAGGAGGGGCAGTGGTTAGCATGGGTTATGGCAGACCTAGCTTCAATTCCTGCTCTGCTGCAAACATCCTGTGAGAACCTGGGCAAGTTGGCTTAGCCTCTCTGCCTCAGTTCCCCCCATCAGTGCAGTGGGAGTAAGAGAAAAGCCCTGCCTCACAGCGGGGTTGTGAGGCTAAATATATTAAAGGGTGGGAGGTGCCCACACCCTACAGTGGTGGGAACCAGCTAAGTACTTCCGCTAGATAGCCATGGAAATCACACAGGGTCAAAATCAAATTCCAAGCATGAAAAGATTTAATTTAGATGCTGTAGATGACTCATTGACTTCATTTTTTTTTTTTAAGGCTTACCCATAGAAAGCTTCCTATGCATCCATTACATAATCCCACACCAAAACTTCTAATCCATATGTGGTACAAAATGTGCCCTGTTAGAATTAACTTCATATTTGAGTTGCTTAATGCGCAGCACTGAAATTGCCTGCGGCTTGTTCCGCTGAGTGCCGGGACAGTAGTAATAACATTACACCCATGGAGATCAGCGGAAGGAAGGCAGGTCTGCCACATGATTGCCCGGTCTGTGTCCAGCCCCTGCCGGGACTGGGCAGCTGGCACAAGGAAAAGCAACAAAACTAATGAGTAAATGCAGCTGTGTCCCCACCCCCGGCTGAGATTTGCTCCCCTCTCTCCCCATCGCTACCTGCATCTTGGTGAGTTTCCACCCTGGCTTTGGCGAACCTCCATCTTGTCTCCTCTTCAGTCATTAGGGATCATCCAAGTTTAAGCGTTCGTCCAGCCAGTTGGATCTGAGTAGCGGCTCTCTGGAGGCACCACCGAGTGTCTGGATTACCAGTGGCAGCCCCAGGCGAAGGGGTATGGGGTGCTCCCCCTTCTTCAGTGAAATCTGAGAACTATTGAGAGTGGCAAATTCCTCCTTTGGGGCTTGTGTTCAGCCACGTGCTCCCCCTCAGAGCAGCTCCTTCGAGAGATCGGTGATGGGTCACGCTCCTCTAGGGCGCAATCCGGCAAGATGCTGGAGTGCTCTGGCGAAGGGCTGGTTTCACAAAGGGACTTAAGTGCCTAAGTGTCTCTTTAGGTGCCGAAGACCAACCGCTCAGGCTCACGGACCTTCACAAAATCACGGCCTAAACCCCAGTGGGATTCTCCAGCTAGGATTTCCTCTGCCTATCTCGCCTGCAGGGCCTGATCCGACAGATATGCTCCAAGCACACCAGACCCACCCACAAGCCACTCAGGCTGCGGTGTGTGTCTGTGTTGATCAGGATCCAGTGGCCGGGGCACTCACGGGGGTTGTAGGAGACCTAGGTTTGAAGCCCTGCTCTGCCCGATTTGAAGCAAGGGCTTAAACCTGCCTTTCCCACTTACCCAGTGAGCGTGTGTGTGTGGGGGGGGGGGGGGGTAAAGGGGAAGCTTTTTCTCTTTTGTTTTTTTTCCTGAGAAAGGGCTCCGCTCCCAGAGAGGGCTCACAGCTGAGGATCCAGAGTGGAGAGAGACACCGCCCTCTGGCCTGTCACTCAAGTGCCTGAGCCCCAGGTCAGTGGGAGTTAGGCACCTGGCTCCCTTTGTGGATCTGGCCCTGCCCTGTCCCTCTGCGTTTCACTCCGAGCTTACATAGGCTGCTCCCTGCTCAGCCCGTTCGCTTCTGAGAACCCCTGTGTACAGTGCCCAACTTTCAGCATACAATGCAGGAGGAGCCCTGGCACCTAGCAATTAGCTACTGCAAAGCTCAGCATTGCAGTGCCCTCAGCCCACTGTGAATCTAGCCCCAAGTGCTCTCGACTCCCATTGACGTCGATGAGGCTTGCGGGTGCTCCACACAAGCTGGGATCAAAAATGTAGGGCCCGAGCCTGCAGCGTGCTGATCCCAAAGCAGCGTCCTCGCAGTGAGTTGAGGGTACAGAGTACGTTCCAAGGGGCACGTGGCCCCTTTCAGGATGAGGCCTCTAGACCAAATCTAAACAAAGGTGGCTTTAATCGAAAGCAACTGAGTTGTCAGGCAGGGGGCTCTGGTTTGAACAAAGCTGAAGCTTAGCACAGAGACCGGTCGAAAGCAGAACCATTGATCCAGACCATGCCTAGTTCTGCGACCCACTGGGCTCCTGGAACTCAGAGCCAACATGAACACATCTGCCTTTGATTCAGTGCCCCCACCCCGCACTCCATGTTTCAGTGTAATCTTAGCCAGTTTCCTCCTGTCCTCTCCCTTTGTGCATTTAAAATCAAAGCCGCCAGAACAAGCGAGAACACAAGCCCAGAAGCCCAAGGGCCTAATGACCAAGGGGCATTAGAGACTGGCACTAGCTGAATTTCAGTGCTGTTGCTCGAGTTCAAATAGAGTTTAAACCCTGCGTGGCATCTCGCTGTCTTTTCAGACAGCAGATTCATGTCAGCTCTGACAACACCGACTCTCACACAGCCTAGCGGCTGGAGCTGTCCCGTCCCCGCAGATATGCTCAATGTTTTGATGAGGCATCCGCCGGTGTATTGCCAGGCAGGGAAGGCAGCCGTGTTCTGGGCTGCAGTTGGGTATTTCTGGGTCTTTTCCAAGGGGCAGTTCAGAATCTGGGCAATGCAATCGTATTTATTTATAACCTGTTACAAATTCCTTGGGCTACGGACGCTCCCATTCTCAGAGTCACGTCTTTGCTGGACGTTTTCAGCTCCGGGTCACTGACTCACTCGAGGTACAGAACGCATTTGTGAACACTAATCGGGATGTTCCCCTCACGCTTGATCCAGCTGCGGCACATGGTTGTAGTTTACCGTCTGCTGATCCCTCGAGATAGCTCTCTTGAAACAAAATCCTGCTGGAGACAAGGCAGTGGTAGTTTTTACCTTGATGTAGCTAGTTGACGTCAACCCTCTTCCCCACCCTTCATCCCTCAGGATTTTACTTTAAGGGGTACATTGGGGGAAAAACATAAAGCCCTGTGCCTTGTCTCCACTTGGAATTTACATCGAAGTAGCGATCTCTGTGTAAATGCACCTCTTGCAGTGAAGACATAGCACCGAGTAAACCACAAACATGATTAGATGTGTGGGGAGTGTCCATGCTAGCCTTTACAAACATGTTAAGTACCGTTGCCCCCTTAGTCCCAGCACTGAGGAAATTATCAGGATCTGGCAAGTCTGTTTCAGTTAGGAGGAGAAACTGACGATAGGTATTTGTTTGGTTGGATCCTGTTTTGTTTACAAAGAAAGCACCTCCAGTTTGCTTGTTTTCCCTGAAAACAATTAAAAACAAACAGCAAGCAGTTTCCTGGCTTTCAGTTTCCAAGCCTACCTCTCCAGCAGTTCCAGGCCACAAGGAGCTCGCTCTCTCTGCTCCCCCACACAACTGCTTCTCTCTCTGTCTGCTTGGTTTCTGCTCAAATACACCCCCACACACACACCTTGCCAAACAATTGCCACAGCCTAGCTTCTGTGTTTGCAATCAGGGAAGCCCACATGGCTCCGCTTCTGATCTTGCCATTGGCTTGCGTGGTGGCTTCTACTGTTATTCGGTATCTCATGACATAAAGGGGCTTAATTGCTCCTTCTATTGAGCCTGGAAGAAAGGTGTTTAGCACATGCATTGGCTTTAACCAGGTCTGTGATTGTCTATAGATCAAAGATCATTAACATCCTCCACATAACAGTATTTTGAGTTCACTGGCAGTCGATTTACAGGAGGCAGATACTCATTTGAGGACCACTTTCTAGACCCACTGAAGTCTAATGTTTAAACTCCTGTTGACTTCAGTGGTCCTAAGAGAGAATGGAAGTTGCAGAATGAATGCATAACACCTATGTCAGGTGCTGGCTTTCCAGCGCTGAGAAGCACTGTCCTCTGTTTGTTGTCATTGGATTCAATCAAAGCTATTAAAAAAAAAATTAATAAATCTGCATTTGTTGTGAAGTACAAGGGGGAGATGGCCAAGGTGTTCCTACAACTCTGGCAATCCTGACAGCCCAAGTGGCTCATGTGGGATGTGGGCAGGCAGGGTGCAATTTAGAGCAAACCTCGGTGCAACTGTAACGTGCACAGGGGGCAAAGAAGCCGGAGTATAAGAGCAGCACCAAGTCTGTAGCGTGATGAGTGGAACTTGAGAAAGAGGGTCAGGTTTCCGGAGGGATCTGGTTTGGGGAGGCATCAGGGGCTTAGCAAGGCATGCTGGGGCCAGGCTGCTGGTGCACAAACACCGGAGGTTCGGCATGTAACACTGGCCTCTTAGGCACGTTTGATAAAGTCTTGTCTCTTGCAACTGTGCCCGCCTTCCTCATCCCTTATTGTTAATGACACCCCCGGCCTCGGTCAGACCTTACTTGCAAACTGTGAACAGATTTGAGCTAGAATCACTGCAAGCCAATAATCCTGGCAGCTCCTGGTGCCATTTCAGTCACTTTTCAGAGCACGTGAGCATTTTTTGACTTTGAACATCAGTATTTCTTTCTGCGAGCTGGTGGATCTTCTGCTCTTCCCTGAGGCATGAGGCTGAATAAGTCTCTTAACTTGGATCCTGGCTGGTCCAACTGCCAATGCTCTTTGTGTCTAATTCTTCCCTGAATTGTGTCAAGTGTTTGAGATCCTTCAGCAGTGACTCTTACAGGCTAATCACACACAGGACTTGCCTATACTACAAAATTGTGCCAACTCAAACTATCCTGGTACAATTTTGAAGTAAAACAATTCCCCTATAAAGATCAGGGCAGCTTATTCCTTTTCCTGTGTGGTTAAAACCACACTAAGGTAAAAGGCAAAGCTACATCTTTGTCTGGTCTGACTATTTTGGAAGAAAATTGCACCAAGCAAAATAGTTTTACTGGCCTCACTTTCAAGTGTTGATGAGGTCTTAGTGGGTTGCCCTTCTGCAGCAATAGTGTTAGCCTGTACCAAAAAAGAGGAGCCAGGAAAAACTGGGTGGGAGGTTGGATGAGAGGGAGAAAATAAGAGAGAAGGGACTGTAGGCGTGGGAACCAGTTCTGCTGCTTTTGTTCTGAAACTTTTTTGCCAGAGTAGACCCGTTGGCAAATACTTGGATGTTACGTTCTGTGAAGAAACTAAAGTCAGCCAATCAACCCAATGTTTTCACTGATATTTTTTGGATTTGAATTTTTTTTTTTAAATCCCGCTCTTGTTTTGTTGCTCAACAAATTTGACAACAGTAGGTTTTTTTCCTTGCAAATGTCTCCATTTCATCCCAAAGGCATTTAAAACAAAACACAGCAAACTTCAAACAGCTGACCCAAAGCCCATTGAAGTCAATGGGATTTGTTCCATTAGAATCAATCCATGAAACTATGTTGGCTACTGAAGGGTAAAGAGCGGCCAGCAAAACTGTTCCTTTTGGTAGCCCACTGGGCTACTGTGGTCACGGGATAGATGTAGTTGCTCCCCAGCTATGGTCCTTACTTTCACAAAGGATCCTTGGTCCTCAAGGCGATTTTCATGTCTCCGTGCCAGGGCAGAGCTCCGTTTGTTATGGAGGGAAGCGGCTTCCCATCGAGGCCGATCAGGATCCGTTTGCTTTGTTGTGCAATTAAATAATCGTTGTAGGTTTAATCCTTTAATAAACTTCCCTGGGACACGGAACGCTTGTGGGGTGCCCCATGGCTTTGCCAGCCTTGACTCAGGCCTCTGCTGCCAGCAGCACTCACGAGACCCGAGAAAGAGCTGGGAGAGGTAATTGTCTACCTTAATCTCCTTTCAAAGAGGTCTTTGATGGGAATTGAATTCTGATGAAAGACTGCTGGGTTGGCAGCCTTGGAGATGAGATGTTCTCTGTCAGCCCCAAGGGGGAGGTCCAGGGTGGGTGTCATCTGCGCCAATGCACCATGGCGCAAGCCCTGATCTTGTCGAATAGGTGTTTTAGGATGAGAGGGGGGCGAATTTCCAGCCAGGGCCTGAGATCTAAAGCCCAGCATTGGCCCACGAGAGTGCAGGAGACGGGAGAGCACAGCTAGAGAGAAGAGCGGGACATTAGGGAGCTGGGAGAGGAGGGGTGGTTTGACTGAGGACTTCAGCAATGTGTTGGCTAGATGGGAGAAGGAGGCAGGGAGCCCACCCGACTGCGGGCTCTCTCATTGGACGGTGCTGTGGCATGATGTACTGAGCATCCGATATCAAGCGCAGGTTAAACGCTGATTGTTTTCAAGAACAAGAGAGCCCGGGCGCTACAAGGGGTGGGTGCAGCTGTGATCAATCTACCCCAGGGATCCTGCCTCTTGGCATAACTCCTGCTGGGCCTACACTTCTCCCCACCTGCTTTCCCTTTGTTCCAAGGCAGGAACAACCCTGCATAAGTGCCGGTTCATCTGTTTGGGTCGGATGCCGCGGTCGCTCTTTGTCTGCGTGTTCTTTGCAGGCAGGGGCATGCCGGCCTCCACTCTTGGGTAAATGCTGTAATTAAAGGAGGCTTGGTACAGAGAGGGTTCTCGGCGGCTCTGTTTCCGCACACAGCCAGGGTGCGGCTGGGTGTCAGCAGGATGCCGCAGCCCAGATCAGGTGAATATGTTTACAAGGCTGAGTTAATGCTCAGGCAGATGTTAACAGCCCATGAAGTTAGCAGAAAGAGGCCCACTGAATTCAGCGGACATAGGATCAGACCCCTTGTTCAAGGGAGAACGTGGTAATTCCCGAAGACTTTGCTGGGACTGGTAGCAAAGAGAGGGACAATGACTCTTGGCCTATTAGAAGTGTGTGAATGGTTTCAGAGTAACAGCCGTGTTAGTCTGTATTCGCAAAAAGAAAAGGAGGACTTGTGGCACCTTAGAGACTAACCAATTTATTTGAGCATAAGCTCAAAGTGTGTGAATGTTTATTACAAACCCGTGAAGGGCAAGAGCATGTCGAAACTAATGTTTGAAGTGCCTATGAGCCTATGGATGTTGATTGTTGGCGTATGAGCCCCCAGAGACTGGTGCAGCAGAGGACAGCCTTGTTATCCCCGTCTGTGCGTGTACCCAAAGCCCTTTTAATCTCCAAGGCAACAAAATATTCCATGAGTCTTGGCTCTGCAAAGTTGCAGCTGAAGCTCTCTTGCCTGGGGAGCTGTGGGACCCTTTTGACAACCGAATGTGGGCTGGAGCACCGCTATGCACCATAGCTGAAAGGTGGCATCGTGGGCACCACAGTGCCATGCTGGGGCCTTGGTTTAACACCGACTTGGAAGGACGAGCACCATGTGTGGAATTTGCAGCACCTAGCCATTCCCTGGGGGTATCTCCTACCCAAGTGTGGACAAGGCCTGGCCCTGGGTTTGGCTTGAGAGATCTCAAGCTATTGAGCATGTCTTTGGCTGCTGTAAATCAGTGTAGCTCGTTAGCCCCAGGAATGTGGCTCGGGGGAAGATTAGATAGCAACCAGTGATGCGTCTATTGCTTTCTTTGCAGTGTCCCCCGGATGCTGCTCAGGAAGCCCTACAGGTAGCGTTAGATGCTGGATATCGGCACTTCGACTGTGCTTATTTTTACCAGAACGAGGCCGCGATCGGAGCAGCCTTTGAAAAGATGCTGGGGGAAGGGAGGCTGAAGAGAGACGAACTTTATGTGGTGAGCAAGGTGAGCCCCGTTTCCCTTCCAGACAGAAGCCCAGGATTGCTAATTCTTTCTAAGTTACCCCAAGACTTGGGATACTGGGTGTTGTGGTTTTTTTCTCGTGGCCTCTGCTACTGGACTCATGATACGGTGAAAATTTCAGCCTCCATTAAATAAAAAAATGATTTCCTAACCCTCTCGGTTATTCACAGAAGCTGCAAAATGAGAGCCCCCCCCCCCCAAAAGGCCAGAAGGCAAATAAGACCCTATGGCTTTCTAAGCCAATCTCATGGATTCTAGGGGGGCCTGACTCATGAAGGCTTGATGTTGACTGTACTGTGTGCCTTGTGGATTGAAACACAATTGTCAAAGAGCTGCCATTCCCAGTGCAGAACAACAACGTTATTAAACTTTCTAATTTACTAGAGATGATCGAAAATGGACAATGGGACAGTTTTTTTCCATTGGCAAATACAATTTTGTCGGAATCTAAACTATTTTGGAGAAACATCTCAATTTTGGCAAAGTTGCAATGGAAAAAATGTCAAAACACATCGTTTCGACTTTCCCGTTTTATTTAACTTCCACTTGCATATTTTTATGTTAGTCCAGATTGTATTATTTTGACCTGAGCAAACTGAAAAGTTTCAATATTTCCAAATAGAAACTTTTCTGAATTTTCACCCCACTAGAAATTTCAATTTGTTGGAATTTTCCACAGGATTCAAATTCCATTTTTTGTCCAGTAGTGCTAAGTGTTCTTGTATGCCATTTGAGAACACTAATCTATTGTCTATCTACATATATACAAACATCTCACTTTTGTGGAGCACACCCATAGCTACTATAGAATCATAGAAATGTCGGGCTGGAAGGGACCCTGAAAAGTCATCAAGTCCTGTCCCCTGCACTGAGGCAGGACCAAGTAAACCTTGACTATCCCAGACAAGTTTTGTCCAACCTGGTCTTAAAAACCTCCAGCAAGGGGATTCCACGAACTCCCTTGGAAGCCTAAATAAATATCTAACCTAAATAGCCTTTCCTGCCAGTTTACCCCATTACTTTTTGTCCTACCTCCAATGAACATGGAGAACAATTGATCACAGTCCTCTTTATAACCGCCATTCACATATTTCAAGACTGTTATCGGGTCAGTCGTCTTTTCTCAAGACTAAGCTCTATTTATGATATTATCTAAGACTCCGTTTATGATGCAAGTAACAAAGACCCATGGTAGGTGCCTACAACAATCAGCAGCAATGAAATGCTAAATAGAAGAGATTTCCAAGCTGGGTGTACCTCAGAGCTGATTGGTCACATGGTGCTGGCTCCTCCTCCTGGTTATTTGCTGAGAAGAGCGGACCAATAGGAGCGGGGACATGGAATGAAGAGCAACATTTGACCTATTGCTCTAAGGCCTGGTGGACACACTTCATTTGTATAGAGTAAAATACTGGGGGAAAGGGATGTCCGTTTTTGATCTTTGAGAGGAAGGATGGTGCTGGGGTGAAGCCACTGGACTGGGATTCAGGAGATCTGGCTTCAGTTCCTGGCTCTGTCACACCCTCCCGCTATGACCGAGTCACAGAGTCTCTCTGTGCCTCAGTTTCCCATCTATACAGCTCATTATACTCCTGTTCTACTCTTTCTCTGACCATGCCCCCATTTTACAGAGGCAGCCTGGTCCAGTAGAACAGACAGTGGATTGGGAGTCTAGAAACCTGGGCTCTGTCTCTCGCTGTGTGACCTGGAGTAATTTACTTCTCCTCCCACCCTGTGTCTGTCTCTTCTATGTAGACTGTGAGCTCGGCAGGGCTGGGACTGTCTCTCTCGGATAGTGCCCAGCACAGGGGGCCCTCATTTTGGTTAGGTGCTCCTGGAATGCAATGAATAATGCAACTATCCTCTCTGGGCAGCTATGGAACAGCTTCCACGCCCCGCAGGATGTGAAGCCGGCTTTCCTGAAAAGCCTGACGATGCTGAAGCTGGATTACCTGGATCTCTATCTCATGCACTCTCCAATGGGCTTTCTGGTAAGGTGGCTTCTCTCTGAGCTGATGGCATTTAGTTCCCTTTCTTCCCCTCAGCCACACAGCAGTTTACACGGTGATGAGTCAGTGCAGGACAGAACTGGGTTTCCGTTCGTAATTATCAGGAGGCAAAACAAGGCAGGCTGGGTTGTCCCTCCGTGGCAGGTCGACAGCCCCTGAGGGTGTTGTCTGGTTTCCTTTTGCGCTTCTAGAAAGCGGGTTCTCGTGGCTAAAATGTGAATCTGAGACTCATAGACTTAAAACACGACCTTGGGCAAATCACTTGATAGACCCTGGGCCTCAGTTCTCCCTGTGCCGCATGGAAATAATAGCACTGTCCTGCTCCCCAGGGGCAGGAGGTGCTCAAGGCCAAGGTAAAGGTTCTGTAGCTACTTGGATGGAAGGTGCAACAAGGGCTTTAGAAACGTGGCATAACCAGGCCACGTTGTCTGACTTCCATGGATGGGTGGCATAAGCCGATAGAGAACTTGACTCATGTAGGTCCAAGGTGCCATTTGGAGACAATAAAGGATCACTTCCCTGGCACCTGGAACGCTGCCACCCCTGGGGTGGCACACAGCAACTGTTTAACAGCAAAATAGGTTAGGCTGGGAAATGAAGAAAATGAGAGGATCCAGTTGGAGCTGTAGGGGAAGTTGAGGGCAATCGGGTGCTGGGCATTGTGTTACTGTAGATGGGCCTCCTGGGTAGGCCAGAGAGTCATCCTGATCAATGAGGCTCTCTGGGCGATTTTGGTAAGAGGAAGGGGACCTGTGAGAACACCAGGGTTAAACTCTCTTGGGGCAATTACACTTACTTGGACGTGTGCCGGCTCGGCAACACCACAGCAGGGGAGTCTCCTATCCACGTTGAGACCCAGCCTCATTCTCCTTTGAGCTCATGAGCCTGGACTGCCTCCCCGTGACTGGAATAGTGGGAGAGGGGTCAAGCAATCAGGCCGGGATATTCGCTCTCTAGAAAAGCCCCCTGCAGACCTCACTGACACTGCATCATCCAGCTCAAAAAATCTGGTGCCCCTGGCTTTCTTTCACACTTCCTCCTGTTGCAATAACTCTGACAGAAGTGGTGGGCATTCCCCGGGGATGAACGGGCCAGCGGGGGTGTTTGATGCCTGGCCACTCGTTAATTCTTGGCAAGTCAGGTCAACTCGGGGCAGGACTCTCAGCAGTTCCAGAGATGCCCATGGGATGCTTCACCCTAGAAAGTGGCTCTTGGTCTGTTCCCCTGCAGAATATCAACGAGGAGCTCATGCCTCAGAAGGACGGGTTGCTTCTGCAGTCGGATGTGGACTACGTGGACACCTGGAGGGTAAGAGGCCACACATCAGGCCAAGTGTAATCATGTTCATGGGGGGTCACGAGCAGGAACAGAACCTGGGACCTTTTGCACCTCAGCCCAAGCTGCTACTATGTGAGCTAAAGGCGCAGTAGCGATGGGATAGGGCAGCTGAGCTACATGGAGGTATTTAGGATGGAAGGGATCCCTTATCAGGGGAAGCCCGGATTCCCACCTCCTGCATGCCTCGGTGATGTGCACCATTGATGGATACCATAAGCACACAGGGCCTGATCCAAAGCCCTTTCCAGCCAGTGGAAAGACTCTCATTGGCTTCGATGGGCTCGCCCATAGTGCTCAGCGAGCAGCAGGGAAAGAGCAGCATAGGCTGCCCATCCCCCTCCAGTCGTAACGATCTCCATGGCTGACTCGTGTTCCTCACGTATATTTCCCATCAGCAGCCTCTGCTGTCTGGCTGCAAGAGACAGAGAGGCAGGCTGAATGCGCCTGCCACCGTAGCAATTGGTAATTACCAGCAAGGTTAAGAGCTGCGAGCCGGGGCAGGTTTTTAGTCTGGCTGGAGACAATGGAATGGCCTCATATAAAATGCACAAAGGCCCCAAGAAGGAGCTAATGCTTCGCGGGAGGAGACAGGCTGCGTTTGCGTGCCGACGGAAATATTTTTAAACCCATTCCGAAGGGGGGAGAGAGCTACGCTTCCAGTCGGCTCCCGGGTGTCAGAGCCACTGGCTTTCCAACCCAGCTGCCCTTTCCCTCCGGAAATGGGAACGCCCCTCTGGGACGTTGAACGAGTGGCTTTTCTGCCGGGCAGCCCGCTTCCCGAGAGGCCTTCCACCTCCGTCGTTCTGGGCATGTGCAGAAGGCCGAATTCGGGCCCGTCACTGCAGCTCGCCTGGCAAATCTGTCCTGTGTGGGTGCCCAAGGCAGAGGCTGTGTTTTTAAGGCGCTCCGTTCTCGGCACTGCCTGAAGGTCCAGCCTAAGCACGTGGAGAGATGGAGATCAGCCCTTTGCCACTTGAATCCGATTGATCACAATCGTTGCAGGAGCTGCACGCCTGCCCTGGGTGGGCGTGGAGGACCGAATGGTGGGCAGGACAATCGGGACCCTCTTCTGCCAGCATAAGCACTGGGGCAGGATCTTCTGTGGCACGTGAGAGCACCAATCGCTGGGCTTGGTCCATGCACCGGGGCTCACCTCCTCAAAGGTATTCAGGCACCGGTGCCTCACTCCCTTCGAGGATCTGGGCCAACGTCCCTAAGGAGGTGGAGGGCTTTGGGTTAGTTTGACACAGGTGCTGAGCACCCACAGCTCCGGGTGAAGCCGGTGGCAGCTGCAAGCATTCCAGCACCCCGGCAAAGCCAGCCAGTGCATTGTCACTTGCCCGTTATTCCAGCAGCCCCCTGCGTTTCCCCAGCTGTGTAGGCCCAGCCCATGACCTGCTGCATAGAATCCTAGAAGATTAGGGTTGGAAGAGACCTCAGGAGGTCACCTAGTCCAACCCCCTGCTCAGAGCAGGACCACTCCCCAACAAAATCATCCAGCACCTCTTTGTTTTCCTGGCAGGCGATGGAGAAGCTGGTGGATGAAGGCCTGGTGAAATCGGTGGGGGTTTCCAACTTCAACATCTCCCAGCTGGAGAGGCTGCTGTCCGTGTGCAGGATCAAGCCTGCCGCCAACCAGGTAAAGGCGTGTGAGTTACACCGGTAACGATGTCGTTTCCTGTGGTGGTGTAGGCCGCTCCTAGGATATGAGCGAGACCAGGTGGGTGAGTCTCCTTCAGCTCTGTGCAGCTCCGAAGTTTTTGTGTCTCTCACCTGCTCTGCCTGTAGCAATCGTGTCTCCGCTCCAGGCAGTGCTCCTGCTCGCTTTGCATTGCGCTGCTTAAGGTCCCAAGCAAGAATTGGGAACCTGCAGCTGTGGCATCCTCCGTACTGTGCTAAGCAGGCTTTGGGGGCTTAATGCATCATTCGAATGCCTGGGTTCGCAGCTTGAGCGGAGCCAGAGAGGTTGTGCTCGCTCTTTGAGGGCTTGGCCCCAAAAGGACTCCCAGAAGCACAGAGCCCAACCATGCTTGGGACCCCACTGTGCTCAGTATGAGACAGTCCCTGCACTGAAAAGCCAGGGGTCCAGAGAGACAAGACGGGCGAAGGGGAAACAATCCTGGAGAGGGGGAAATTATTTGCTCAAGGTTAATGGCACAACTGGGAACAGAACCCAAGCCTCATGGCTCCGAATTGCCCCTAAGTAGGTCAAGCTGCCTCTCTGACATGAGGGTGGGGTGTGGCCTGGAGAAGGCTGAGGACCACGGGCCTAATCAATCAACCTCCCTGCGGCCGGTCCTGTGTCCGTTCTCCAAGCCAGCCACGGTCACTGGCCAATAGTTAACGCTGCAGAAGGAGGCCCCGGGGAATGCTGTGCAGGCAGAAGGGGGATTGATTGGTCCTGATCTGCCAGAAAGCTGCAGCCAGAGCCTTGCTTCCTCTCTCTTAGGCCAGGGTGTGGAGGAAGGAGGCCGAATCTGATGCTCGGTCCAGCATGCTGGGAGAAGCATGTGGGGCTGGGCAGAGAAGAGGAAGAGACCTTCCCGGGGCAGGAGGGAAGCTCACCTGACCCTGGGGCTACGGGGGCTCATGATATTCAGCAAACCAGGCCCCAGCTTTGGGTTTTCCGATGAAAGCTGCCCCCTCTCAGGAAGGACTTCCCGGCCCTTCAGAGCCTGCTCATGAGCACCTTGAGGCAATGGGACGTGGGCGTGAGAGACAATAACTGTTTCTCTACCAGGTGGAGCTGCATCCCTACCTGACCCAGCCCGAGCTGGTGGAGTACTGCAGGTCCAAGGGGATCGTCCTCATCGCATACAGTCCCTTCGGCTGCCCTGCTATGCCCTGGTCAGTCCAAAAGTGACCTGTAAAGGGAGAATGACCAGTGAGCTAATCAGAGAAGAGGGGGAGGTAGAAGGTGGGGTGTTCTTGCTGCCCCAGAGTCCATGCCGATGACTCGGAAATCACCCTTCTGGGGACAGTAGAGACCCACAGCTACAGCACAAAGCAGCAGTTCTGCCTGAACCAGCATCACGGGGCTCAGTGGTGACTGGCAGATGGAGTGAGTGTGAGCTGGAGTGCCTGAGAGGTGTTTCTTCCAGCGGCCACAGCTGCAAACTCAGCCTGGGCTGGCTCTGAGACACAAGCTGGGTCCTTCTCTTCTCGAGCTTCGTGGCCGGTAACCCGGCCCACCCGTCCAAGGTGTGGCTGAGATCTTCGATACGCTAACTGAGCTGGATTCTGCTCTCTCTCCGGTTTGATTTCACTGGCTTGGGACTTACACTCGTGTGAGGGGGAGAAGAATCCAATAGCATTTACTGGATTCATTTATCTTGGATAAATATCAGGGGGTAGCCGTGTTAGTGAAGAAGTCTGAAGAAGTGGGGTTTTTTACCAACGAAAGCTTATGCCCAAATAAATCTGTTAGTCTTTTAGGTGCCACCAGACTCTTTGTTGTTTTCTTGGATAAATAGTTAATCAAGAGTCAGATCAATGTAACGGGTCCCTCTGCGTGATGAGTTCTGGCTGCCGCGTGGTGACAAAGCAGGGGAAAGGCAAAGTGAGCTGGGCCAGGGAGGGATGCTGGCTGTTGTTAGCAGCCGTTGTTTGCACAGCAGCACCAATGGGCATTCGTCGACCCTGTGGCTGGCTCAGGGGGAGTGACTGAAACCCTCAGTGCTTTCCCTTCCCCATTTCTCGAACCCACCAGCTTTCTGTTGGCAAAGGGCTGCCCGTTGTTCAGGACTCTCCAAATCTCTTCCCTTAGCCCTACGGGGAAGAACAGTCCGGTGCCCCTCCTGGAGAATCCAACGGTGAATGAGATCGCTCAGAAGCACGGAAAAACCAGCGCTCAGGTGAGGGGGGACAGCACTGGCCCTAGCGGTGTTTGTCTATAGCCGCACGACATCCTATCTAACCTACACGGGGGTGGGGGTTTGTGGGTGCAGTGTGGAAAAAATGTGTGTGTGTGTCTTTTCCTGCTGGCTGTGTGCCTCCTGGCCACCACGCCAGCCACGTACCTTGGCTCACCAACTCCTCCTGCCCTCTCTGCAGGTTCTCATCCGCTTCCACCTTCAGAGGGGCATCGCCACCATCCCGAAAAGCATCACCCCGTCCCACATCGTGGAGAACGCAGAGGTAACAGGGATGGCTAGTGAGCCAGGAGCCCTCTTCCGCTCCTGGCGAATGGCTGAGGTGTTAATGTCACGAGAGCGGGGTGAAAAGCTGCACACAAGCAACGGCTGGGGACTTGTACCAAAGCTGAGCTGTACCCAGCAGGATTTGAACGGCTAGTTCAAGGGACCCTTAAGTATTGCTAGCTTGAGGGTTAGCCGCTCCGTTCGGCGATACGCTTGTAGCTTGGAGACCTAGCTGGATTTGCTCCTTGTAGAACACACAATACAGAGCAAGGTCTGGCTATTAAACAGCCTTGATTGGCATGCACGGCCCCCCTTGCGAGAGGTGGGGTCGCGCAGTACCCGGGGAGCCCGTTAACAGAGTTATTCTTAAGCCATCTACAGCCATTCTTGTCCCGGCTCCAGCTGTGACGATCCGGATGAAAACACGTCCGGGCCAGGGAAGCAGCTGTGGGAATAGATTGTGGCCCGTACATCTGGGGGCGGGATTTTTGCCCTTTCACTGAGGAGTTGAGGGGGTGGCCATGCCTGTTTGGCAGAGCTGTGCTGAACAAATGGGCCAGGCCAGGCACCCAGTAGATCTGCTCTTCACCTCGGAGAGAGAGAGACACACGAAGTGTCTGGGCCTGTCTGCTGTGGGGCAAGGCAGGGGGTGAATTTCAGCACAGCAACTTGCCACGCAGTAACCTCCTGTGTGCGTGTCGGGGAAATCCTACGCCCACACCCTGCCATTCCCTGTATCCAGCCTCCAAGGGGCTGCATTTCCCAGCCTTACAGAATATCCACCCGCGACTTCCATGCTCTGCTGGGGCCTTGCGTCTCCCTGCAGACCTCCGAACCCAGAAAGCCCTTGGCTTGGGTTCAAAGGCTGTTTCTTCTGTGTAGGTGTATGACTTTCAGCTGACACACAAAGAAATCCAGACGCTGGAAGGACTAAACTGCAACACGCGATTTATTAAATGGAAACTGATGGGGTGAGTGATTGAAACAGGCTCGTCTAACTAAAAAAATGTATCCGTGTGCAACTGTGCGCTTGCCTTCGGGGCCCAGCTAGTGATCGTACATAGGGAAGCTTGCAGGCTAGGAAGCAGTGGATGCTTTCAGTCATGTGGCCCAGGGGCTAGCGCACTGGATGGGGATGCAGGAGACCTGGGTTCTATTTCTAGCATTGCCTCTGCCCTGCTGGGTGACCTGAGGCCAGTCACTTCCCACCCCCTGCCTCAGTTTCCCTACAGGCAAAATGGGGATAATGAGTCTTTGCTTTTCATCTGCAGGGCTTCTATAGGAGGTAGATATTGAGTAGCATCTACTCATGTAAGGATCTCAAAGCACCTTGCCAACATTAATTAATTAACCCACAGTGAAGTAGGTAAGGGACCAAACCCAGCAGCGACCGTCCCCATTAGCTTCAGGTGGGGTTGTTCCAGTGTGAGTCTCACCTGTTATAAAGGGAGTTGTTTCCTCACTGATGCTAACCCACTCCGAGGCCAGGGATAAATCACAAAGGTTTGAGCAGCACGTTGAAGATCCAGTGTAATACGTTTGAAGTGTTGCCATTGTTTGTTTAACCACTGACCCTATTGGCCCCTGTGCAATACACGCAATCCAATCTTCCCTGGTGGCAGGGCTTGCAAATCGGAAAGGCCAGCATGGGACCCAAAGAGACTTCACCTGGGTGGAGGGCGGGGTCAGTAGTAGCATAACCTGAGCTAGGAGAATGTGGATTTGATGCTCTCTAGTGGTGATGCATCCGTGGTGAAGCTCACGAAAGCTGATGCTCAAATAAATTGGTTAGTCTCTAAGGTGCCACAAGGCCGCCTTTTCTTTTTGCGAATACAGACTAACACGGCTGCTACTCTGAAAGATGTTTCAATCAGCCGTAGAGCTGGTTAAAAGATAAAGCTGCGTCTGTCTTTCCTTCTGAAAATATGAACAAAATGACCCTGCAGAACTTCTGTCTTTTCATGATAGGAAAATTTAGAAGAAATTCCCCTTCCTCCTCTTCCCTGTTTCCACTGAAAAGAGGGGATGGGCCCCAAAAAGAAAACTTCTGGTTTTCAACAGCTGAAAATTTTCAATCCAATGACATTTTCATTTTGATCAAAAAGCCATTTTTAATTGGGGAGGCAGCATTTTGGGTGAAAAATGCTGACCTGCTAAGGCATGGGTTGTCAACCTTTTCCCTACTGGAGCCCCTCTCTCATCTAATAAAATCTAGCTCCTTATATAACACTTTTCAGCAGTAGATCACAGAGGCCCAGATTCATGAAGGTACTTAAGCGTTCCAACGTCTAAACCACTCCCCCCCGCCCATGGTGCCCTGCCAGCAAGTGGAATTCTCAGCCCTAAGCTTTGTGAATCTAGTCCAAAGTGACCTGCTTCAGAGTCCTCCAAGCAAAACCCACATCTCCCAGTCTACTCACCCATGCTGCAGGAAGGGCAGGGGTTTCACAACCAAACTCTGTTGGCGGCCCACTAAGTTGAGCCTCTTTTTGTCGTCAGAGGTTGATATTGCCCTGGGGAAGTTAATGGGAGTTTTTCTATTGACTTAATTGGGAGCAGGATCAAGGCCCTTATGTCTTTGAATGCAACAGGAGCTAAAAAGCAGGACTGGCTCATCCTTTTAGTTGGAGAGATTCTGGGTTTAAACACCTGCTGGCGCAACCCATTACTAGCAGATCTGTTGCAGGATGGGCGGCTGACGGAACAGAACGCACCAGGAAATCCAGAGAGGGATGGGCTTGGTTTATTTGTGTTTCTTTTAATTAAACTCCTGGGTTAATGCATTTTAAATTAAAGGTTTAAATTCCCTATTTTGGCTATTCCTATTACATGTGAGAAGAAGTGGCTGGCTACTGCACTGTATTGCTTCTTGAAAAAGCTTCTACATGGAAGATTCTGAATGGCTGTGATTATTGGAACCTCCATCCTTAGAGGTTTTTAAGGCCCAGCCTGATGAAGCCCTGGCTGGGATGATTTTAGTTGGGGTTGGTCCTGCTCTGAGCAGGGGGTTGGACTAGATGACCTCCTGAGGTCTCTTCCAACCCCAATCTTCTATGATTCTATTATTTACTTAGGCTGTATTTGTCTCTTATTCCAGGATGGACACACACAAACACTTCCCATTCGGTGACAAGTAACTATCGTGGCCTAGAGAAATGGCAAGTCAATCGTGGAAGATCCGGTTCCCAGTAAATCAACTGCATGTATTGGCAAGCTTTTGAAATGATCCATATCAGGCTCTCAAAATCCTTATGAAAACTTACTAGGCAAGGTAAACTAAAATCTACTTGCCTACCTGTACACCGGGGCTACACCTAATTACGTTTTATTTGTCTATTTAAAATTACATGAGAATGGAGGAGAAGAATTTTACATGGGTGATTTTAAATATCTGCTTAGCAAAGGGTAAGGGGGGATCTTGATAAGCTATTTGTTCTCTTGAGACAGTTTCTAGATGTGGGGGTAAAGGATTAGATGCTTCTGTAATGTTCTCTTGATTTTTTTTCAAAAACACAATAAAAACACAATGACAGCATTTAGCATTCCCGGGGCTCTGGTTCAAGTCCATGTGTTCATTTTTCAGGGGACTTTCACCAAGCACTGAACAACTGGGATTTTGTTAAACAGCAGACTGAACCAAAGCGCCTTTAACTTGATGCAACCTGGGATTTGCAGTCTCCTGTTCAAAATCTTCAGCAATTTAAATGCTTCAGCTATGTTCTGCCCCGCCGTGTTAGTTTACAGTGCGGGGGTAGAGTCGTACTAACTAGAATATTTCTATCAATTGGAGTCACAGACGTTTTTACTGTGGGCAGAATGCACCCCGTACTGAAGACCAACCCGATCACTTCAGTCCCGCTGAGGTTGTGCCTGTTCTGGCCCTTTACTCCTGATGAAATGGGATTTAAGCGAGGCCTAGCCCATGTGCTGGATAGCCCTCGATGCATTGGTGAATGTCTGTTGGAGACAAGAGTCACAGTTTTCACTGCATGTTGCTTACCTTTTGAGGAGCACCCTTTCCCTTCAAGTGCTCGGCAAACAGGCTAGGTCACTGTATGTATGTGCATAAAGTCAGCATGTCCTGATGGACTGCACAGTGCAGCAAGCTGACCTTGACAATTCACTGGTAACAACAGTTTTGCAGTGGACTTCAGTGAATGTATGGTCAGGCCCAGTATTAACTTTGAGAGACTTAAACCCTTTAATATACGTTAGATTTATGTGTATTTGTGTTTTTTAAGATGCACAAGTTCACATGCCTCAGGGGTTACGATACATTAACCCCTGCTTAGTGTTGGCCGTTCACTTTGTTTGCCAGATGATGATCATTATGTGTGTTGAATGGCTGTAGCGTAAATTTACACTCCTAGAATATACGTCCAAAGTGCGCTCGCTGTGTGTGTGGGGGGGAGGGGTTAGAATAAAAACAAACTGGAAAGATGTCAGATGAAACTTTCCTATGGACCTAGTTGAAATAACTTGCTTATAATTAGTTATCACGGCTGTTTCACATTAAATTGGAAAGGAAAGGATGCATTTAGATAACTAATACGTAGCAATATTTAATACCTTGCACACGGCTTTGAAGATGAGATCTCTTTTGCTGAAATCTCACATTTAAACTACCCCTCCAGGGTCTTCAGTTTATGTTCTTGTACATTGTTCTTACTGGCAGTTTGTTTTAAACTGAGAGGTTATTTGTTCCCTTAATTATAACAGATGTGCAAAACCAGCTCTCCCAGTTGCCCTTCAGCCCTGTCTGTTAGTGCCCTCTAGTGGAGTAAAGGTAATTCACTCTGTGTCTAGTCTAAAGTTGAAAAGTTTCAAAGTAACAGCCGTGTTAGTCTGTATTCGCAAAAAGAAAAGGAGTGCTTGTGGCACCTTAGAGACTAACCAATTTATTTGAGCATAAGCTTTCATGAGCTACAGCTCACTTCATCAGATGCATACTGTGGAAAGTGTAGATGATCTTTTTATATACATACAAAGCATGAAAAAATACCTCCTCCCACCCCACTCTCCTGCTGGTAATAGCTTATCTAAAGTGATCACTCTCTTTACAATGTGTATGATAATCAAGGTGGGCCATTTCCAGCACAAAGCCAGGGTTTAACAAGAATGTCGGGGGGGGGGGGGGGTAGGAAAAAACAAGGGGAAATAGGTTACCTTGCATAATGACTAAGCCACTCCCAGTCTCTATTCAAGCCTAAGTTAATTGTATCAAATTTGCAAATGAATTCCAATTCAACAGCTTCTTGCTGGAGTCTGGATTTGAAGGTTTTTTGTTGTAATATCGCAACTTTCATGTCTGTAATTGCGTGACCAGAGAGATTGAAGTGTTCTCCGACTGGTTTATGAATGTTAGAATTCTTGACATCTGATTTGTGTCCATTTATTCTTTTACGTAGAGACTGTCCAGTTTGACCAATGTACATGGCAGAGGGGCATTGCTGGCATATGATGGCATATATCACATTGGTAGAAGTGCAGGTGAATGAGCCTCTGATAGTGTGGCTGATGTTATTAGGCCCTGTGATGGTGTCCCCTGAATAGATATGTGGGCACAGTTGGCAACGGGCTTTGTTGCAAGGATAGGTTCCTGGGTTAGTGGTTCTGTTGTGTGGTATGTGGTTGCTGGTGAGTATTTGCTTCAGGTTGGGGGGCTGTCTGTAGGCAAGGACTGGCCTGTCTCCCAAGATTTGTGAGAGTGTTGGGTCATCCTTCAGGATAGGTTGTAGATCCTTAATAATGCGTTGGAGGGGTTTTAGTTGGGGGCTGAAGGTGACGGCTAGTGGCTTTCTGATATATGCCATCATGTGCCAGCAATGCCCCTCTGCCATGTACATTGGTCAAACTGGACAGTCTCTACGTAAAAGAATAAATGGACACAAATCAGATGGCAAGAATTATAACATTCATAAACCAGTCGGAGAACACTTCAATCTCTCTGGTCACGCAATTACAGACATGAAAGTTGCGATATTACAACAAAAAAACCTTCAAATCCAGACTCCAGCAAGAAGCTGTTGAATTGGAATTCATTTGCAAATTTGATACAATTAACTTAGCCACTCCCAATCTCTATTCAAGCCTAAGTCATTATGCAAGGTAACCTATTTCCCCTTGTTTTTTCCTACCCCCTGCCCCCCCCCCCCGACATTCTTGTTAAACCCTGGATTTGTGCTGGAAATGGCCCACCTTGATTATCATACACATTGTAAGGAGAGTGATCACTTTAGATAAGCTATTACCAGCAGGAGAGTGGGGTGGGGGGAGGTATTTTTTCATGCTTTGTGTGTATATAAAAAGATCTTCTACACTTTCCACAGTACGCATCCGATGAAGTGAGCTGTAGCTCATGAAAGCTTGTGCTCAAATAAATTGGTTAGTCTCTAAGGTGCCACAAGTACTCCTTAAAGTTGAAAAGTTAGCCCAATCCTGCTCCTAAAGGACACCCTTTGCAAGATAGGGGTCCTACTTACTTGATCCTGAAGGCTGTAGTTTTCCTCCACCTCTTAAGCTGAACGCCAGGATCCCAGCTTTTCCCATGGTGCCCTAATGCAAAATGACCAGGGGGAAACCCAGCTCCAACCAGTGCTAAGTACACAACTGCTTCCCTTATTCCTTGCAGAGCCTGCTTCTTTAGAAGCCAGAAACAGCTTTGTTGGACTTAACTGGATCCAGAACAAGGTCTAAAGCCAGAGGAGTTGCTTTGAAAGGGTCTGATTTGTGACAAATGCAGGAATTAGACTTGTTTACATGGCAAGGAGGACAGCGTTTGGGCAAATGCAAAGAGGCAATTCCCCCTTCTCAAGCACCCAGCATTAACCTTCTAGCCTACAGCCAGATTTTAAAAAGGAGTCTTATTAATGAGTTAGGGTAACCCATCAGCTAGAAAAATGTCATTCTGATCTCACATTAGGTGTGTAGCTGGTGGTCATCACTAGGGTGGATGGAGATGCGGAGGTGGAATTTTCCCCATCACATAATGTTTAAAGGTTATCGGGCATCCAACCTGAAAAAGTCATAAAATCACACAAAGGGCCATAACTGGAAGCAACACAGGCTAATTTTGACCAAAATTGGCAGAAAGCTTCTAAATATAATTGATAATCAACTAGGTACCTAAAATAGTAGCGTTTTGGAAAGTTTGGGACCTGTTTAGCCTCAGGTCACAGGATTTTATGCATTTGCCTGTCCTTTTTATGCCTTCGGTTAAACAGTCTGTAATCCCATGACAGTAGACCTCTTTGCTCCACATTACATTGACATATTTGCCATTATGATGCTGAGAAGTTTGTCTGCTATTTTATAAATATTGGCTACTGCACCAGCAACTCATATTAATACAGCGTACACCGTGATGAAATATTTTCAGGCTATGGTCCACGCTCTGGGCCAACACTGGACCTGTGTCATCTATGATGACGCAATCTCCTGCAAAGCACGGTTGATGAAATGGAGGAATCCAAATGAATTGGACAATGACCACCTCCAGATGGGAGGCAAGCATTGTGCAGTGAATTTCATGTGTGATCGAGGCCGTGTGAGGCAAGACAGTGGGTTTGAAGACTCCTTGTGGAAGGCAGCCTCTGTGGTGCTCCAGTCATCAGCCATGCTCTAAGAGGGAACCATGGACCCGTGGCGTTAAAGTCCACAAATGTATGAACGTGTTGACAAATCGACCTGAAATGGATGGCACGTGGTGATTCCGTGAACAATAATGTTGTCCCAGAAGATAAAAAAGAGCCAGCTTGGAGAAAATGCAAATGTGCCCAGAAGCATTTGAAGATGTGGAGACAGCACAGGAAGAAAACAGAGTGCTTTGGCGGGCTTCATGAACCAAGCCCGATCGCTCCACTGGCTCATGGACACTTACCTTACAGTACCAGTCTGGGGTTCCTACACTGCTGAAACTGTTATACTAATGCAGTCTTATTGGGGCTGACAAAAACCTCTATCTCCCTGTATAATGCAGGCGATAGGCTGCTCACCTAGGTACCAGGCCTGGTGGGTTCAAAACTGCCCTCTACTTCCCATGAAGGACTGTGAATGGGGGATCCCTGAGTATTGCGTGGTGCCTGATGTATAGGGATGGGGAGCTCCCTTGTTTTTGCCTGTGGAAGCTGTTCCACATTAACTTTTGTTTGGGTGACCGCAAAACCAGTCCTCCCACTATAGGCCACGTGCTTGGGTTCTGGGAGCTGCAGCTTCAAATCTGCCCTCTACCTGTGCTCAGTAGGGCTTGGGGCAGGTGTTGAATGCAGCTGTGGTGCGTGTGCCCTGAACTTTGGGCTCTTGCCTGTGGAAGCTGTTCCACTTTCATTAAAGGGGAGTTGGGCCAGCAGCTCCCTCTGCAGTCCAGTGGTTAAGCTATGTGCCTAGGGTGTGGGAGAGGTGGGTTCAAACCTGTCCCATTGTTTGTATGCCCTAACCTTTCTGTTAGCTTCAACAGGTAAGAGGGAGGTTACCCCCCTCAGTCTGTTTCACATTAATTAAATGTGATTTGGGCCAACACAATACCCACCCTCTCCCTCTAGTCTAGTGGTTAGGATACTTACCTGGGTTGGAGGAGATCCTGGTTCAAATCCCCCAGCTGCCTGTTCAGCAGGGATTTCCTGCTTCCTTGGTGACTGTCCTTTGAGGTGGGCCATCCTTGTCTGAACCCCCCCTCCCCGCTCTTTCTCAAGAGTCCATTGTCTTCTTGGGACAAGGAGGGGATTGGGACAGGAATTGCCCACCTGTGACTCTCCCTGGGAGCTGGCCAGGGAGTGCCCTGGGGTTTGCCACAACCTGTGTGTATCCTGATCATGGTGGACAAAGAATGAGTGCAGGGGGTTTTGCATCCACCTGCAATTAATCTTTAATTAAAAGGAACAAGAGGCCCTGTAAAATGGCCCTTGTCCAGGGCTATTACCTCATCAGCTAGAGACCCTCTGAGCAGGTAGAGTGGGGATTTGAACAAGGATCTCCTACATGTTAACTAAGCACCCTAACCCCTCACCCCATCGGGGGCTTCAGCAGGGTATGTTGGCCCAGTTAATATGCAGTGAAAGTGGAACAAATTCAACAGAAAGGATTAAGGCAGTTCTCCCATCAGGTTGGCTCTTAGCCCAGCACTGAGGCCATTCCTTCGAGTGCTGAGGTTTCAAATCTAGCAGAAGTGGGAAGCGAACCTAAACCTCCTACAGCCCTTGAATACTTCCTGTTTGAATTTGATTTTGATCCTACCACTCTTGGTTGGCATGCTTGAGTGTTTTGCACACAACCGAGCTGCTGTTGAATAGGAAACACATTCGGAGGGCTTGGAGGAGGGGGCCCGCGCCAAAGCCCACTGAGGGCTGTGGAAAGACCCAGCCATCAACAGCCTTTGGATTAGGGCCTAAAACTGGCAGGAGAAGAAAAAGCAGCAGGAGGGCAGTGCATTGGTTTGTGCAGCTGCTGCTCTCTGAAGCAAGTCTTTGGAACCCTTCTGTAGCTCAGTTCAC